CAAGTAGTGCATACTTTAAATGAATAACACCCCAGTAATGATGAATTACTAACTTGAATATCGAATTTATATTGAACTATATTTTTTTTATATCATCAAAGATAATACATACAGGGTATTTTCCTTTTATCATGGAAACTAAAAAAGACACAAAAAGACATAAGCTTTTGTCCTTTTTGTTCTTTTCAGATAAGGGTCGCACATTCCCTAAACACTTTCGGGTAAACAATCCAATCGTGGCAATTTTAAACGGTTTCTTTAGACTTTACTTTTTAAGGATTTTGTATTTTCATAATTTACATTTTTAGTTAGAATTTCAGCTTCGTATCATAATACATACATTTTTGACACTAGAAAATGTTATTTGAAAAATTTGCTAATTTTATTAAGTCCTGTATCATGTTAAAAGGAAAATCCTAACTTAAAAAATATATTGTATAGTACACATATAAGTATCTGCGTTTTTATAAAACTGCTGCTTGCTGATTCTATTTGCTGATTCTATTTTATTTTTGATCTTAAAGAGGTTGCTTATTGATCGGAAGCTACTAAGTTTTTTGTTTATTAATAACTAAAAAAACATTTTTTCGTATTTTGTATTTTGATATTCTCTTAAACGGTGTCAACTTAGATTGTACATCTTTCACTGTTTGATTTCATAATCAACTTTGTGTAGGCGATTTAAAAAAAATGGTACCATATATATATACAGATGATATATATAGATATATATATATATATATATATATATATATATATATATATATATATATATATATATATATATATATATATATATATATATATATATATATATATATATATATATATATATATATATATATATATATATATATATATATATATATATACATTATTATATATATATATATATATATATATATATATATATATATATATATATATATATATATATTCTCACGTATTGATTCACGGATGGAAAAATGTGATGACACTATACTCCGGGATATCATCCGTTCGCTCGTTGAACTCCGACTGGAATCCTGCATCCGACTGGAATTCTGCAAATCCTGCATCCGACTGGAATCCTGCAGACGTTTCGCCAAAATCTCACTTGGCATCTTCAAGCGCGAGCATTGAAGATGCCAAGTGAGATTTTGGCGAAACGTCTGCAGGATTCCAGTCGGATGCAGGATTCCAGTCGGAGTTCAACGAGCGAACGGATGATATCCCGGAGTATAGTGTCATCATATATATATATATATATATATATATATATATATATATATATATATATATATATATATATATATATATATATATATATATATATATATATATATATATATATATATATATATAATTTCTATGCTCAACAATAAGGTAATAACAACCATAAAATTTTTATAAGTAAAATAAAATACTTTCTAGCCTAATACCCCACTTGAAGCTTTTGGAAGCTCTTAGTTTCACCCTGTGTTATAATTAAAAAAAAAGGAAAAAACCTTTTAAAACTTATTAAAAGCAACTATTTCCAAATGTTATGCTAAATTTTTATCACAGAAAAAAATTGAAGAACAGGCATTAATTCGCATCGAATACAAAAATGTATCTTAAATATAAACCGTCTTAATGTTCATGGACCGCTGCTGCTCTTTAGTTCTAATATTAACTTAGCCGAGTGTCTGTAGAAATACTAGCTTGCAGGTTGACTTTTAATTATCAATACAAATGTAAAATTATGTAAACGTTGTAAGGTCACCGAATGGAAAAAACATATTGATATAATTTGCACATGTCTGATTCGTGATTCCTAGCTAGCGAGACTGGAAAGTTTCTGAGTCTTTTTTAAATATAACTTTTACTATCGTCAAAAATATATTTCGTTTTTTATTTACCCGCGTTGTTTTTCAAATTTCAATCAAATATGTCCTCACCAGTTCCTACTTGTAGGTAATATTCTCTTATCTTGACTTTTACCGCACTGTATAGTCAGAGTTATTAAAAATACATTTTTAAATGTATTTCAATACAAATACTTTTTCGGCATAGTAATTAAATGTTTTTGAAATAGAATTTTTGAAACTGCTTTTAATTGCAACTTCATTAGCAATGCATTTAAAAGTTTTTCAATACATCATTTGCAATCGCCAATCATCTTAAAGCTTTGACACTATTTACGCTCCATTAGTACCATATTCCATTGCTAATGGAACCTTAATTGAATCTTGCGAACTTTGCCATATTGAAAACAACAAGATAATACATGTTAATACTGTTAATGATAGAGACAGAAAAGACTCAAGTTTTCATTTGTTGTTTTATATTTATCTAATCCGGAAAATAACTTTAGAAACTTTTGTATTTAGATTACAATACAAAAAAAAGTGTTTAAATGAAGTCCATGTATTTCGAATATATCTTGAAATATACCTATTTGACCACTCTGTGTAATACATACGGGGTGTTTTACGGTTGATGGTACCTTAAACGTTTACTGGTTAGTTTCATAAGCAGCGATGCTCTATCGATCTAAAATAAAAAAAAATAAAAGTAGGATTAGTGGTATTCGAAAAATTAATTATTTTCTTTATTTTTCCACCAAAACATTGCTAAAATTAAATTATTATTAGCTTCGGTTGGGGGGGGGGGGTTACTGTACATTTTTCCTTAAATTCAAAATCAGTTCTATATCATGCATGGTTTTTAAATACAATATTTTAAAAATTCTTTTCACTAACAAAATATTCTTCTCTATTCTCTGTATCTCTGACACACTTCATCGGGCGATCTTGCTGGCCAATTCTACGGTTGCAAACGTCGAAACCAAAGGTCATTAAATAATTTGTATAATTCTTGTGACACCCCTTCAGTGCAGTGAGCGGGTTGGTACCAAGGGGCTAAGATTATCTAGAAAGTCATTCACCACTAACCTTGATATTTGAAGATATTTTGCAATATTCAATAGTTCGTTATCTTTTAGCACGCAAAACACATTTGAACTAAATTTCCTTTGAAATGAGGATTGCCGACAAACGAAAAGTGTTCTTTTCTATTCTGAAAATTTTAGTTCGTTGATCCAAATAATTGGTTCAAATAATTCACAGGCAAGACATTCTATTCCTGAGCATTCAGGGTCTGAGCTTTTTTAAATTTATATGGATGGATCTCGTGACTTACCAAAATTCTATAAACGGAGCTGCTTACAATATCCGGGGACAACTTGTGACGAATTCAATAGAAAAATTAAAAAAACTGTGTGACAATTTCAAACCTACTGTAGCAAAAACTACCTTATATTAACCCCTGAAAAAACTGTAGTAGTTCAATTCGCAAGTTCTTTAAACTGGTTAAATGTCCAAATTAGACCAAAATAATATACGTAAAAATTGCCATACAAAATTTCTAAGTACAAAACTTGGCTGGCAATTAAAGTTGGATAATCAAATAGAGTGTGTCAAAAAAACTTAGTAGCTCTTGTTTTGATCTCTTAACATTGAAATCTTCCTTAAATACCTTTTAAGTGTATACTACTCATCGGTATACTACAATATGATGTTGAGGAAGAGCAGTAGACGCTGACGAATCTTTGTCCAACAAAGAAGGATAATTCGCCTAATGTACAACTTAAAACTAGTAGAATCGTACAGAGATGTTATTGGAACTAAAAAAAATTGCCCTCTGAAAGATATTTATTTAAACTATTAATTTATATACATAAAAATAAAGATAACTTTCAAACAAGATCTGATATTCATTCTTACTCGACAAGAAATAGAAATAACTTCCTATTAAAATTTTTTAATAAATATTGCTTTTCATTCGGGGATAACAGTATAATATGCTACCTGCTAAAACTAAAGACGTAGACTAAATTATATTATTTAAAATTTTTACTGACAACAAATGTTTATTATAATCTACCTGAATACGCAAATTATATGAACAATATGAATAATAGGTAACAATTTAGCTGTTTGTTGGTCTTCTTCACGTAAAATTTGGACTCTGGTTTATATATTTTTTATGTTTTTACCCAAGTTATATGCTGCGCTATAACGTATACGAATCGAACCATTTGGATAGGCATGAATATATGCCAGAACGTTTATTACATTTGCTTCGTTTGAAGTGACATGTTTTGGTAAAGATACCCTTAGTTACGAACCAAAGTTGGTGAAATTTTTCTTAATTCTTGGAATTCTGTGTTGTAAATCAGGGTGTGTTTCATTAAATTTTCTGCATCTTTTGACTATAATGTGGCATTGCTTAATAAACAAATTTAAACAGCATTTGAATACTGGTTTCCTTGCATTTTGAACCGATTTTATTGACCAAAAAATGAGTGAACTTTTATTGACCTGTCAAACGGATAATTCACTTGCATTTATTTCAGAAACCAAACGATTTAGGTATAGAGACATGTTACAAGATTCGAAAGGAAATTTAAATTTAATATGCTCTTAGAATATGTGATAATATACAGGGCGCTCAATGTTAAAAGATCTGTATGTGGTAGGCAAATCATTAGTTTAGATTCTGTTCGATATCTCTCTAAGCTTCCATAAAAATTTTAACTTTTTAATTAAATTGAATTGAAAAAATAATTTACTTGAAAACCGCTGAAACGCATTATTCAAAACAATCATAAAGTATTGGCAGATCGGAAAACGCGATGATATACATGGTGTCCCATTTAAAATTTCAACGTTGATGCAACTTTTTCGAAGAAGCGGGAACGTCGCAGCTTTAAAAATGTTTTAGATCCATAGAGCATCCCCGCTTATGGAACTAACCCTATGTTTAGGACCATGCAATGCACCGTTCGCTGTATACGTTTTTTTATATAACGCGTAGCGTCTGCAAAACATCACCATTCCACCTAAACGATTATTTGTTTCTCACGCAAAATACAAATCGAGAATCAAATCCGAACGCAATTATTAAAACTAGTTTGCCGACCCAGAATACAAAATACGGCCGATTTCGCACTTAAATTCATTTCGATTTTGTTCCAGATAAGCCAGTAACTGCAAACATGCCGCATTATGGGAGTTACGCTTCAACTGATCTTAGGTATGTGCGCGGCGACAAACACTTTCCTTACCGATTTCACACGCAATACTGATAGTGTTTACTAATAATAAGTTTATGACGTTTACACGACAATCCGACAACAACGCAGGTTGAAAAAAAAACCGCCACATTTGTCAGATTTTTTGAAGATTTTTCGGCAACTTTTAGTTTTCCAGCAGTTCCATAAACTTCCAAATTAAAGTAAAAGCATAAGTTATTCATAAAATTGCCTTAACGTACTGATTTTTCAATAACAAGTCACATAATAAATCAAATATCTCATTTATATGGAAGTTACCTTTGTTTTTACCACTAAATCCAGAAAATCCGATAAAATATGCGGGGCTCCATTTAAAATTCCATAGTTGGTATACGGCGAAGATCTGGGACACTCTGTATAAAAGTAAATAATCTGAGTGACTTCTTATTTAAAAATTACGGTTGTGCATTACGCTGCGTATTCTGTGAATACTACCCTTAGTTAATAAGTGTCTGTTGAAGTTATACTGTGGTTAATCCTAACCAGTGATGACCACAATCTGCTTCACCTAATATTACCCTATGGCACAGTTTTATTGTATTAGTATAGAAAATCCAGTTTAAGTGCCTCTCACTGTTTAGAGGATATTCGTGAGTATTATTCAACTTTGTTTTTTATATCGTTTTTAGTGTTCTGACGATGATGGGCGAAAACTTGATGTCATTATTAAAGCCAAAGGAACTGAGAGTTCATACATAAGTTTTGGGCAATCCCGTAGTTACTGCGTTGCTTTACATCTTTATCTATATTTAGGTTTTCTCTAGACGGGATGATCCAAGGTTACGTCTGGTACCTCTTGAGAAAACAGTATTTCGCGCAGATGTGAGAAAAAAAATCAACCATATTAAAAGAAGTCCAGATTTTATTCTGCAAGTCCAAAATACATGCATCTAGTTCTTTCTTCTATCCACAAAAAAATCGTGAATCTGACGCAATAATTAAATGGCCTAATAATATCCCTGAAGCCCGCCCCGTCATCAGTTTCGGGCGGTGCTCTGAAGAAGCCAGCATTATATGCGCCTAAATGTCAACAAGTCGGAGTGAATACTCAAATGTATCAGAAAACTCTGAAATTTCAAAATAACGTTTGATCCGTTTTGTTTATGGTCTCATTGGTGAAAGGTACCCCGCAGGCGCCAAACTTTTTGGCCGACAGTGTAACCTTAATCAATTTTCCGCGTTTTATGATTGCAAAAGTTTGCGGTTGGCAAATTTATTTGCCGCCGACATATCGTAATTCCAAAGCTGATTTCTTCGCGATATTGAAAAATCCAAACCGCGAAATGGCTTTACGAAAAGTTTCCGACACGCGCTCACGCACTGCTGGTTGCTTGTTTTTGGCGCTTGATGCGCCACAGCCGCCATACGAGAACCTGGAGGACTTTCGTATTACGCTAAATTTTAAAATATGAAAAAAATGTACCATTTTGCTATGATTCTACGGGGTATATCAAATTATATCAAATCAAATCAATAATATTGCCACTTTAATGAGAATTTACAAAATATTGTTTCAAAGAGAGTAAACAAACATTTCTCGTTGAAAGAGGGTAAAAAATCTGAGAAAATGCGAGCAAACCCTTGAGTTGATAGCAACAAAAAATATTTCGTGTAATAGTAATAAGAAAATATTTGTATAATACAGACTCTAAAATCAAAAACAATAAGAAAAGAAATGCAATTTTCGATTTTATTAAAAATTATATGGCATGCAATGGCTGGATGAAGAAATGGAATCAGATACAGGGTGTTTCTTGAAAGAAGGGAGAAAATACGAGAAAATGCGAGCAAACTCTAGAGAAAAACGCCTTCCATTGATAGCAACAAAATATATTTTAAGTAATGGGATTTTTAAATGGTGCTTGAAAAAGTCACAAAACTATAAGAAAATATTTATATAATACAGAGACTCGAAAAACAACAATAAAAAGAAAAGAAATGCAAACGTCGAATGAATTCAAAATTATATGGTATGCGATGACTGAAGAAGAAGAAATGGAACCAGATACAGTGTGTTTTTTGAAAGAAGACAGAAAATACGAGAAAATTCGAGCAAATCTTTGAAAAATACGTGTTCTACTGATAGCAACAAAAAAATGTTTAAATGGCGCTTGAAAAAATCAAAAAACCATAAGAAAATATTTTTATAATACAGACTTTAAAGACAACAACAAAAATAAAAAAAATGCAATTTTCGATTTAATTAATTATTATATGGTATGCAATAGCGAAAGACGGAGAAATCAGAAACAGGGTGTTTCTTGAAAGAAGGGAAAAAATACGAGAAAATGCTAGCAAACTCTTCAAAAATACGTCCTCTATTGAAATAAAAATCTAAAAATACTGTCATATATTATTTCGTTTAGGTTAAATAATAAAAACTTAAATATTAGTCGAAATATTAAAAACAATCATATATATATTTGAGATGCTTTTGGACAACTCAACTGTATATACAGGGCAACCCATTTAAAAATTAAATTGTTTGTTTCTCGAAAATAATTGGAGACTGAGTATGCCGGTGAATTCTGAGAAAAAAATGGCAGCAATGCCACTTTTCATTTTTCCGATAAGATAATTAAATTAGAACAAAAAAAAAATATTATAGTTAATTATTAGCTGTTTCGGCAACATCGTGCCTTTATCAAATAACAAAATATGACAATATTCCGACTTCTAAATATATATAGACAAACAGGTAGTAATACATTCTCAATTGCAATTGGTCGTTACATAATAGATTGGAAGATCTAGTTTTTTGCTTTTTGAATGATTATGTAAAATATCAAAATTATCTGACTTTAAATGATTGGTATAGTTAGAACCCGAATTTTAATTTTTTTACGTTCTTTTATGTTCGTTAATGTGTTTCTAAAATGTTCTACCAGTTTCGGACATGATCTACATTTAAATTTGTAGACTTCGAATTTTTGATTTTTTCACGATTTAGGTTTATTGTTTTTTTAAAATTTTCTTATGGTTGTAAAAGCAGACTATCTAAAGACCAAATTTAGATAGATGTTTCGAAATTTTCTTTCTAGATTCTCCTATGTATTTTGGGTTGGCTTAGATAGAGTTCAGATTTATTTGAAACTGTTTTTTATTTATAATCTTATCCATCAAAGTGGGGTTGTAACCATTGTTAAATGCTATTTGTTTTGTAATTTTTAATTCTTTTTCGAAATTTTCTGTAATCTGTTGAAAGAAGAATAAAAGCAGCCATTTTGTTTGTGTTAGGGTGATTTGTGTTGTTACTTATTACTGTGTCCATATCTGAGGGTTAATGGTAAATGGAAAAATCTAATTTGTTCGTTTCGTTATAGTTAAGTCCAGAAGGCTTAATGAGTTATCCAAGTTCCATCTATGGTAAATTTTATACGGTTATATAAAAATAAGCGAGAACTCCTGTAAAAAATATGACAATTTATAAAACTTAGTCCATAGGTGCCTTCCTGCTGTGACTGACCGACCATCAAGCATCAAACGTAAATTTCTCCGCAAATTATATCTGTCTAGAAAAGGTGACGAGGTCGCCTATAACAATTTTTTTACGGTTTTCATGGAAAGCTGACTACGGTCTCGGCAACGTGAGTAAATTTTGCAGCCTCACCTACATAACCATATTTAACGCAGACCTGAGACCATAATTATTAACAGCAAGTGCGATTAGATTGCGCCGCATTTATACGACCTTGTATTCCGAAGCTTCCACCACAAGAACATACGTCCGACATGTTGCGATATTAAAGGATTAAGTACACTTATTATTCAGACAGTATCAGGCAGTTACAATTCGGAAAAAATGAATAAACTAAGTTTTATGCCGGTCTTTCACCCTACATGGCAAAAAAAATTCTTACAGAAAGTGTAACACGTTCCAGGAATATACCATGTGAACGTTATAAATATCCAGAGAATAGTCCATGTACAGGGTGGCCGGTGTGCGTATCATACAAAAAGTTCGAATACAGAAGTTGTTTCCAATAAAATAATCTTTAATTTTTTTGTTGAATTTCAATCGACACTCAAGTACATCCGGGTGGTCAAATAAGGATACATTTTTAAATGCCTCTTGAAAAGACAAAAACAACAATATACAGGATGTCAAGTATAAGATAATGTAGCGGGTGATCATTTATAATGTCCCCCACCCCCACTTAACTTATCACTTAACTGAAACCAATTAGCCAATTTAACCCTCTTATTTGCTTTAACAAACATTTTCAAAATTAATTGTTTTTCAGTATCAGAATATGGCAATTTATAATAAAAAGAACGTTAGTTTTGCTAAATCAGTGACTGGTAACTGTCACTGTATAAATTCCGGAATATTATTTAATTTTTGAATGTTGCTTTTTTGTTAAAAGCGCATATAACCCAAAAACTGTTAGACTTTGGTATAATTTTGCAAATAGCTTACTATTTTTTCAACAACTTTTTGTAATTGACGTTTTTTCCTAAATAAAAAAAGGGGCGGTATTAAAATGATCACTCGGTACATAGACCAATTCCTAAAAAAAATTGTCTTGTATATACCGGGTGTCCCAGTAAGGGCAACGCGGTACGGTATTGAGGAAATAAATGTTTCTAAAAATTTGAAAAGAAAAATGGAATTATTTTTAAGATTTTGAAATGGCCACCGGAGGCCATCCTGAATTTTAAAACCCGTTTTCTATAGAGTGAGCACTGTTTTATAGATGCGATTAATTCAAATCATTTTAATTAGATACTTTGCATTTTAAAAGGAAAGTGATGATGGGTGCTTCAACATTTCCGGAAATAAATGCCGATAACTCCAAAATAGCTTAATGGATTCTAATAAACTTGGAATCATTCGCTATGGGCTATCAAACGTGCTATGCAACGATATGAATTTTATATAATTAATAGTTTTAAAATTATACAGGGTGTGCCATTTAACAAAATAGAGTTTGGTCAGATAAGTTTTTCCGTAGGCGGAGTTTAGTTTTGTGGGAAAAGTTGTATAAGGCGGTTTTCACGTTTTAGATGTTATCTGATAGTTGAGATTGAAAATCTTAAAATCCAATGATTTCGAAAACCGCAATCTATCTATCTATGAAAATAACGAAGATACAACTCAAAAGTACTCAAACTGGGACAACCTCTACAATAATGGTTAAAATGCGATTCTAGAGGTCCTCCACGTGGCATGCCATTGACCACTCTGGTTAACCAAACCTTTCGTTTTCAGGTGTCCTCCTAACCCTATCGCAATGTAGCACATCGAAGACCCTCAGACCCGTACGCGAGGCGCCTCCAACGGTCCCCCCGCAGCCGTCCGCGTCACCACAAAATGTTACCGAAATAAACAACCGCGATCTCAACAAGATCGTCAAAGATCAACCAAAGACTGAACTAACAGACCCTAAAAATGCCGTAAATAGATTACACATTCCACTAGAACTTCACCAAAAGACCCAGGACTCCACCACGACGCACAAGAATGACTACGTTACTCGAAAAAAGGAAACCGAGAAGAGGGAAGGCAGCGGCAGATCGATAGACGTCGATTCCGCGAAATTTTGGTCCCCGGAATTCCACAACAAAAACAACTTTTTCACGTTATCCTCGTCTACTGACGGGGACAAACTGGACGCACGTCATAATCATCCCACCACCTACAGCTACGACGTTCACACCGAGCTAACCACTCCAACGACTACGCTGTTCGACCAAAAGTACAAGGAAACCGTCGAGAGTGTCGACCAACATATAGACGAGTTCGAGCCTGAGGAAGATGACGAATCCGAATTCGTGGAGGAAAATCGCATAAAGGATCGGCGGAACGGCACTCTGGAGTTCACCAAGACCAAGACTATAGTTAGCAACGAAACAGCCGATAAAAACTCCGTGCACAAAAACGTGAATGTCGAGGAATCGAGTAACGTCAGCTTCGAATCGATTTTCAATGACACCAAGGTCTACGACGAGGTCTCTGAGTCGAGCACTACCTTAAAAGTTCTGCCCGCGACCACCACAACCACCATAACCGAGAAAAACAACAGTCACCTTTTAAATAACAAGATCGAAACTGACGTCAAACACGAAGTTAACCTCCATGTGAGTACCACGCCGATAGTGACGTCAAGCTTACCGCAAGGAGAACTCGCAACGAGCACCGACATGGCCAAAACCAAGCTCTCGGAACCCATAGAAAGCAATCAGGTCATCCCCTTGCAACTGGCGGACAATACCAACGAAAAAAGGAGTACGACTTTATCCGTGCAGATCGCCCAGCCCACGACTCTTGCTGAGAAAGTACCTGAAAACTCCACAGAGAGTGTGGATCCGACCACGACCGAAACAGTCGTCAGCACCACAGAGACAACAACCGAAATAGGCACTACCACATCGATCGAAACAACCACCGATGTCCTAGTAACTGATTACAGTACTCCGATAGATGGATTAACATCAAGTACTGTGGCAATTATTACTAGCACGGAGGAACTTGATGATGTAAGCACCACCGAAATTGATATCCGTACTTCTAAGGCGCTGAAAGTAACCACGACCACGGAATTAACCACAGACGCTGGCGTCATAAGCACCGAAGCTACATCAGAGTGGCCGTTAACTACCACAACGTCCGTCGATACGGAGCTCACCACAATCCCTGCAGTAACTTCCGGCAACGAGCAGGAGTTTACTTTCGTTCATATCAAGACCGTGGACAGCAACCATACCACTTTAGTGCCCGACGTTTTGACCGCTGACCTCAATTATTCGACACCAAACGTCGTGAGCGAACCTGTGGAAGTCCGTAGAGCAAATTTGAGCATCCCGGCGCCGGCCAGCGACGCACCACCCACAACGGAAGAAGAGGAAGAAACGGAACCTCCTACGGAGAACCCGCTGATCAACGATGAAGGAAAGAGCAAGGGGACCATTGCGGCTATAGTTATATCTAGTGTTGGAGCGGTCTGCCTGATTCTTTTGGCCGGACTGTTGGTAAGAACCAAGTGGTAGTGGTTTACGCACTTGTTTGACTAAATTACTTACAGTATGTGATGAAGAAACGGCAGAAGCGGTTCAACTACGGACCGAGATGTACCCCAGTGAGTTTGGACGAGTACAGTATAGACAACCTCTCGGTTTACAACAGCGTCAGACGCAAGGGAGCGGATAGAATGTCGAAGAGGTCATTCGGCAATCCTGCCTTTGACGATCCGGTATGTGGGTAATTGGGTAATTTATAATGGGCACACTGATAGAACAAATTTGTATGGGTGATCAAGATACATTAGGAAAAATTCTATATAAGGGGTGTTTTTTTTTCGATGTATAGAACTTGAAGTTGCAATAAAACAACGATAGATTATTTGATTGACATGAATTTTATTTATCCGAAAGATAATCTTGTGGCATTACATTTTAAATATGATTTCTGGCATATGACCGCCACGGCTGGCGCGGATGTAGTCCAATCTGGACGTCCACTTTTCGATGACTTTTTCCAACATTTGTGGCCGTATATCTGCAATAACACGGCGAATGGTGCCTTCCAAATGGTCAAGCGTTTGTGGCTTGTCCGCATAGGCCAATGACTTTACATAGCCCTACAGAAAGTAGTCTAGCGGTGTTAAATCACAAGATCTTGGAGGCCAATTCACAGGTCCAACACGTGAAATTAGGCGGTCACCAAACGTGTCTTTCAATAAATCGATTGTTGGCACGAGCTGTGTCACATGTTGCGCCGTCTTGTTGGAACCACATCTCCTGGACATCATGGTTATTCAATTCAGGAATGAAAGAGTTAGTAATCATAGCTTTATACCGATCATCATTGACTGTAACGTTCTGGCCATCATCGTTTTTGAAGAAGTACGGACCAATGATTCCACCAGCCCATAAAGCGCACCAAACAGTCAGTTTTTCTGGATTTAACCGTGTTTTGACATACACTTGAGTTTTGTTTGTTGACGTAGCCATTCAACCAGAAGTGCGCTTTATTGCTAAACAAAATTCGCTTATGAAAATCGGGAACAACAGCGAGTTATCAATAAGAGTAAACGTGGTGCGAAAACGTTCCATGGTTAATCGAATTAACCGCTCTGATGGACGATTTTGTCGACGATAAAATGGATGTAGTGCGCGACACGTATTCTGCACAGAACCATTATTTTCGAAATAAAATTGCACTATTTGCAAGCGTTGTTCAGGCGTGAGCCTATTCATGATGAATTGCCACACCAAACTGAGAATAAATCACTTGACAGCTGTTAAATCGGTCGCCATCTTGAACAGTAATGTCAACTTAAAGTTCTATACATCGAAAATAATAACCCTGTATTTTGTTAACTACAAGCATTTCGGCTTTACTTATTTTCACGTGACATTCCAAAATTTATTTTGTATCCATTAACTATATATAATTATCCGTTTGAGAATTCGTTTGCAATATGTTTAGGATAGATTCGACTTATGAAATGATTTCCTCTTTTGGGATAATAAATGTGGCAATGATGAAGTTGGAACCTTTTCCAAGAACTGTTCCATTTGGGTAGTTGTTAAGAGTCCAAACAATAATGTCAAAGTAATAATTCTCGTGTATATATTTTTCTAGACAAAAATGTTAAATGCACAAGTTACAGATGAGGCTAAAAGAGACAAATTAAAATTATTTTGAAATGTACAGGGTGATTCAAAAATATGTGGAAATCCGACATATATATGTTTTAACAGGAACACCATCTATGGTGCGACATTAATGTCATGTCATGTTATGGTTTATGCTGAGTGTTTTCAAATTTATGGCCAATTTTTCGTCAAAAATTCCTGTGTTTAATATCCTATTTTTTTGGACGCCGTTTCCGGCAGCTGTAATTTTATTACGCCAAGTTTATAATAATAATAATATGTCCTATACGTTTCGTAAAGTTAGTTCGAATCGTTCATACACAGTGAGTCAAAATGAAAAATATTGATTTTCAACACATTTTGAATACCCTGTATATTAATTACTCCTCTCTCAATTTTATTAAGCATTTCCTATACCTAATCTTAGCATTTTTTGGTTTCGTTCCTGGAATGGATTCGTACAAAACATAGTTAGATAGATGACTTCAATTGTAATTTTTTTCGGATATACCAAACTTATAACAAAAATACAAAATAAATGTACTGTTAAAAAATCCGAATGGGCCTCCATAAACTTCTACTTCCACAAAAACATGATAGAGTTAAGAAGCCTCTAAAAAGTCAAAAAGAAACATAAATAGAAAAAAATGAAATAAAACTATAAATGAAGAACGTGCCAGCATATAAATACTATAAACGTATAAGCTGTGGGTTTGAACTGCGTCCAAAGGCTTTACTTGATCAAGTTCAACGATTTTTTACAGCCAGTAAATTATATTTTGATTGTTACTTATTTCCGCTTAACTTGCTGCTCATCAGTACAATTGCACATAATGTTAATTCGCTTTTCATTTCTTCAACATTATAGGTCTGAAAAGTGTAACTAATGGACACAACAAAACAAAAATATTTTTAAGTTGGTTTAAGTTTAAGTTAAGTTAATATCTGGTTTTGACATTACATTTCTTAAGAACGACAGGAGAAAGTGAGTGGTTACTGGTTCTGGAAGTATTTCCTGGGCACCATTTATCATCACAGGCTGGTAAGATCGGTCCTGCAGCATTTTGGTTTTTCAGGTGGTTTCGCATCCCCTAAATTTCCCCGCTCTGGCGAAATTCGCTAGTAATTTTGAAGACATCAAAGCGGAGTTCGAAGATATACCGCAAATCACCGCCCGAACGTCGGAGCTGCCTGAAGGTTGCGACTCGAAGAATAGATACGCCAATGTGATTCCCTTACCAGAGACCAGAGTGAATCTGAAATTTATCGATGGGTACCCGAACAGCGATTATATCAACGCCAATTATGTGACGGTAAGAAATAGAAGAGCAATGATAGGCCGGCCGCCTCCTCATTTGAAATTTCATCTGTAGGGACCTAAAAATATCAGGGGGTACTACATAGCAACTCAGGGGCCTATGCAGAATACCGTGGACGATTTTTGGAGGATGGTATGGGAGCAGCAGGTCAAAGTCGTTTTAATGCTGACGCACTTGGTGGAGAACGGACTCGTAAGGAAATTAGTTTACTTCTAAATAGGATTTTGTGGTGATGAAAGAATATTCTTTAGGAAAAATGCGTAGACTATCTTCCGGAATCCGAGGTGGTGGATAACCACAGACTATTTGGAGATTTCCAGATAACACTTAAGAAACGCGAAGTCAAGGACAAGTATATAATTTCCAGTTTGCAGCTCAAGGTGTGTAAAAAACAGTTCTTATATGTCGTGGTGCTTTGGCGCTGGCCATTGAGTTATGTAACCTTTTTCAGAACATGGTTTCCAATAGCTGGAGAGAAGTGACTCACTTCTGGTACTTGGGCTGGCCCGAAAAAGGGGTTCCGGCAGAAGCAAATTCGCTGATAGCTTTCCTCATCGAGGCTAGGAGTTATATGAAGACGGCCACTTTGGATCGGGTAAGAATCACGTTTAATATTATTCGCAAAGTAAAGAAAAATTAAGTCGTACTTAGGAGGTCTAATTGCATTTTTGCTAACGTATCGTCTTGGCGACTATATTTGCTATTTATGGTTGGTACAATTTTTAATACATTTTTTTGCTTCCCGTTTATATTTGGTTTCTTTTAGCATTGGTTAGCTCTTTTCATTAATAGGATAGAAAATAATAAACGGGTCAGACTTCAACTGAAGCTGATATTTGTCTAGCTGATGTTTTATTTTATTCTTAAATTCTGCTAATACAAAAATTATTTCATTTTGAACTATTTTTTCAAGAAGTCTATTTTATAAAACGGCAATAAAAAAGTGATGAAAAAAATATCAATGGAAACATGCAACATGGAAAATATGTACGGTGAAGGGCTAAAATATGGCACAAATTCATTTAGGAAATCAGGTATTGGATTTCAAGAAAAATGCTAACACACATCCATTTTTGTTATAAACAGAAATATACGGGGTACAGTAGTATGACAAGAAACAATTATTTGAAAAAATATATAACTCTTGCAATATTTATGTTATTTTAAATAAGACCTTTGGTGTTTTTCCAAAAGACGTCGCCATATTTCATATAATCATATTGTTGCTACAAAAATAATGCAAATAAGTATGAGTACCAAATATGTTAACAATTAACCCAAAAGTGTTAATTATAGAATTTTGCAAAAAGTAAAAAATTGGTTTTCTATAATTTTACGCTTTTGCACCAAGGCCCTTCATTTATTAAGAAGTTGAGGATAATCCCCATCGGGCATCTTTTGAGGTAGCTGAAAATAAAGATGTCAGTCAACAAACAGCTTTGCGTGTATTAAAAGAAAAAAACTATCCTCCGCATGCACTGTGATGGAAATGTAAAATTTAAATAAATGTTTTCATCGTTAGATAGTGTTCAGTCATTAAGCGTTTTGCTTAAGTGGTACGGCAAATCAACAAGACTGATATGTATTGGAGTACAAATAATCCAGGATCAAAGAGAGAAAATCATACACAATATCCACAAAAAATAAATATTTGGGCAGAGATTTTGAATGGCAAAATCATTGGACCTTATTCTTCTTGTACTGTTCCCGTTTGGTCTCCATATCTGATAAAAATTAAAATTTGAATTTTCTGAGTTTCATTTTGATGCTCCAAATTTACTTTCTTTACTAACAGAAATTTAATTGTGACAATGTAACAACCAGTAAAGGCTGGTACTAGCTTCTTACCTGTTGTCTTACCTTATGCTCATAAAAAGTAAGACATAGGTATAGCCTGTTGTGAGATGCGTGAAATTTAATGCAGAATTCGAAAAAAGATTTCAAAAAATGGTGTTCTATTTTAAAAATATCATTTTTTTAGCCCACACTGTATTTTCTATATTTACTGCAATACACAACCCACTATATATGGTCATAACATTTTTTTAGAATCTAAAATAAAACATTTTCTTAATTCGATTACGATGTAAAGCTTTACTTTTGGAAATAAAAGTCTATCTCCGCCCCTTCAAACAATATATAAGCAGGCACTCTGAAGCTCTGAAAAAGCCAACAGGACGCAGGAGGACTCCAGAAAATTTGTAAATATTAACAAAATTGAATCATGTTCAAGGTTAGTCTACGTTTATTTTGAAAACCACGGGCAAATACCGCTAGGAAAAGTAAAAACCAAAATGAGAAACTACTCTTGCATATTATTTTAAAAAAATTTATTTCTCATTAAAAATTATTTTCATTAGCCTCGAATAAATGTAAATAGACATTCTCAACCTGCGTCGTCTTTAATCCTTGGCAGAGTAATTTTTAATAAAACTGGCTAACTAGAATTGTTTCTTTCGTCAGAAAAACGACGGGAACGGCAACATTGCAAACAACGACGGTGCGCCAAATGACCACAGCCCCGTGGTGGTCCATTGTAGTCCCGGTACTGGCAGAACTGGTAGGCGTCGAAAAACATTTTTAATAAAGACGAGTGATTTTTGTATTTTGTGCAGGCGTCGCCATGGCTTGCGACATAGCCATCAGGGAATTCGAGACAACGCGACTAGTGGACATTCCCAAGATAGTCTACAGGATCAGGAGGGATAGGGCCAACGCCATCCAGACGAAAGAGCAGTACCAGTTCATTTATAAGGTACAAGCGAAGTACAATTTGTGTCCATTTTTCTATAAATTTGAAGAAAAATGCATGAAAAAACAACATCTGGACTGATATTTATAAAAAAATTACGCCAGTTAGAAAATTAAAGATACATAATGACAAGAATTTAACTATTCAAAAAAAGTTGCTTATTAAAAATATTACTCGAATCTAAAACAAGGCAAAAAAAGTGCCAAGATAAATGTTTCTCAGTTCATAAATACTAAATAGAATTCCCGTTTTGCTGAAAATAAAATCAATTGTGTTATTAGGAAATATCCTGAAAATGAGCAAAATCAAGCAAAAATGACGAAGAAGAAATTCTTCCGATTCTCTTAAAAAGGTAATTATTGTCCCAAAAATTAAAAAAAAAGTCATGAAATAGCAATATGCGAGCTTATAACTATAAAAGAAAATTTCCGCTATTTAGAAAATTAAAGGTAGACAAGAATTCAATTATTCAAAAGAAAGTCACTTACTAAGAATATTTTAACATCGAAAGTAAAACGAGGCAAAGAAAAATGACAAGAAAAATTTTTCTCTGTTTATAAATATTAACTAGAATCCCCTTTTCCTGAAAATAAAGAATAATAAAAAAATCATCGGACAATATTTAGTTTCTAAAATTGAATGTATGTTTTAATTATTAAGGAAAATATCTTGAAAATTAGACAAGTCAAGAAAAAAATGAACAAGAGGAAATTCTTCCAATTTTATTAAGAAGATTATTATTTTACCAAAAATCAAAAAGAAATACGAAGAAAAGGACATTAAAAAACAACATCCGAGTTTATACTTAGTTATAGAACAAAATTTACTCTACAAAATTAAAGACAGATAAAGACAAGAATTTAACTATTCAAAAAATGGCAAAGGAAACTTTTTCCCAGTATATAAATAAGAGATATTTTAATAAATCGTTTTTTAAGTTCATTCTGTCTTATTATTATCATTATTATTAAAGAGAATATCTTGAAAATAAGACAAGTCATGCAAAGATAATCAAGAAGAAATTCTTGCTATTAGATTAACGAGATTGTCCCAAAAATCAAAAATAAATGGAAGGAAAAGACAGCTTATAGTTGTAAAACAACATTTATACTTTAGAAAATTAAAGACAGCCAAAGACAAGAATGTAATCATTCGAAAGAAGGTTACGTATTAAGAATATTATAACTTCCAACGTAAAAGAAGGAAAAGAAAAATGACTCTTAGTTTATGAATACCAAATAGTATTCTCGTTTTCGTGAAAATAAATTGTGAAAGTACCGTTTTGGATGGCTTTTTAGTGCATTCATTATAGTATAGTATAGTAATATATGAATTTCACTATTTCGTAATTTTACTAACTTATTTTAAATTGTAACTACCTCAACGAACATTGATTTTGTTTATTTACGTATTGTGTTTTATGATAACTACCATATTTTTGTTTCTCAGTTTAATGGAATACTTAATAAAAGAAGTTTAGAAGAATTCCAGTGGAATTCTGTGGAATTTGGTGAAATTCCACTGGAACTCCGAGGAATTGTACATAAAAGAGGAATGATGCGGTTTACATTCCTCGAAATTTCAGAATTAACGCTCGATTTTACTTACTATTTTCAATATCATTAAAAATTGAAAATGTTGACAGATGCTCAATTAACCTGAGGAATCGTTCTTTATAACTTAACTTAGTTTGTGTACACCCTGTAAGTGTACTCCCATTTTAATTGTTTTTTTTTTGTAGGTGGTGAGCCTGTACGCGACCAAACTGACAGGCGGGGTCTTCGATAATAATTTTTGAAACGTGTGCGAAATTTGTGATACGTGGACGTTTGCGTGAACGTAGTGATTAGTCCGTAGCCATTTAATAGTGTGCAATAATGTCTAGTAGATGTAAATAAAACAAGAGTTTTTTTTTTAATTGAACGTTTGCTCTCTGAGTGTGAAATATATATTTTTAAAAAATAAATGTCGCTGTTTTGGTTTGTTTTGGAAATAACCTGGATGATAAATTCGAATGTCCCATTTCCTCCTTATATAAATACGTAAGGATCAGGGCAAATGTCAGTTGACTTAGCAGAAAAATCAAGATTTACATAAAATTTCTGTTTATTCTTCAACCTCGAAATACGTGCAGACAAATTTTTCATAAAATTAAATTAAATACGAGCCTGATCGATCAGAAGACGGTTGGATTTTTTGGCAGCACCCTAGGGATGTACTTTTTGACGAACTAGACGTTAGCTTTCTTATTAGGCGGGTAGAACTAGAAAGAGACCCTCAGCAGTCGTTGTTAAGATTGGAAGAAGCTTTTTGTGGCCAAATATTGAAGCAAATATTCAAACTGTGACTAAATAGCCTTTTGTAACAAACCAATCCTAAACACGTGAATCTTCTATTAAGCTTAAGGTGTCCTTGGGCCATAATTTTGCCCTATAAGATATAATATTGACTTTGAGTTATTCTTGATTTTTGTTCAATAATAATTATTTTTTTAAATAAGTTGCAAATTCACGTATAGGCTGGAATTAATGTATAGGGGTGTTGATACCTGTGCCTGTCTAGTCTCCCAGCCAAAATATCTTTTTTTTACCTATACTCATTCTTCTTTCAATCTCATATTTCCTTTAAACTTAGATATGATATTTTATCACAAGTTCGTTCGAACTAAGCAACAAGGTTAAAGACATTAAAATTCTAGTTTCCTTTGACATAGTAGACTGTAGTCTCACTCAGTGCCAAGTCAATCCTACCGAAAAACAAGACTTGTTTGATAGTTTATAGTATATAATAGAACAAGTGAGTCACGAGTTTATTTAGTACTAGCGGAGCAAGTGTTTAATAAACCAGTGATTTAAAAAGTTTACCAAACGTGTTACACACAAGACTATTTCAACGACCGTTAGTTTTTGGGTACATTTTTGCGAAACAATAAGAATAAATTCACTGACATGACAGTCAGAATTGACAAACGTCAAAATTCAAGCCGTGCTCCCAAATCCGTGCGGTAAAATCCCGGAAATGTGCGAAGGGGCTCGGGTTCGTGGGGCAAGAAATCCACTTAGCCCGTTACTTGCAGATATTTTCGTGGACAGTGTAGCAAATATAGTACATAAACATCCTTTGGGTAAAAGATTTCTGCCTTTTATTCTTTTATCCACAGACTACAGACTAAAAAATAAATATTATAACACAGCTGTTAACAATGGTTATTACGATTCTTTGATAGATAAGACTATAACTAAAAACACAGTCTCAAATAACTCTATCCATCCCATATGAAACACCAAACTCAAAATTTATAGTACATAGGAGAACCTAGCAATAAAATTTCGAAATATCTATCTAAATTTGGTCCCAAAAATGGTTTTAAAACTGAAGACCCCAAAGGAAAAATTTTAAAAACCATTAATAGTAAATCACGAAAAACTCAAAAATCCGGAATGTACAATTTGAAATGTGGATCATACCTCAAAACAAACAGATAGAAAGGTTCGTTAAAATTCAGAAAGGCACAGGTTTGACGATAATTATAATACTTTAAATAATGAATCAAAAATTAAAAAAAACAAATTTGTTGGTTTCTATGGAAATAACCAAATTGAGATATTCGAATCTTTTACTTAATGACCAAGTGGATTTAAATGCTAATATTGGAATATTTTGTATTTGATAAAGGCACAGTGTTGCCGAAACAACTGTCATAAATCAAAAAATAACTGTGAAAATATGAACATTTTATGTTCTAATTTAATTGTGTTAAATAGATTTTCATCATGTGCACTGTTCTGCCTGTCCAGGCAGAATAGTGCACATCGGCTTCAGCCGCCAGATGTCGCCTTCTTGGGTCAACTTTCTAATTTCTACGATAAGGAATTGGCCAAAAGGTCACCCTGGATTGACAGCATCTATCAAATTGCATTTTTATTTCTAAGAGCTTATAGCAAGTGGTACTGAGAGCATATGTTCATCCCTAGCAATTTATTTGTAACGCATTTAGAGTGATTTTCAGGTTTTTTTTTTCAAATTATTTTAATACTGACAAATTTTATTTTACGAAATAGTTTTTGCAACGCCTGTTATTTTTTTAATTAATTTATTAGCCCAAAAATGCCTGCGACCAGATAAAAACTTTAATAGCATTATAACAGTTATGACCATTTACCGTACTAGTCTAATTCAATGAAAATATTACTAAGGTATGTAACCATTTTTATATAAAGTATTTAATTTATGCAATGTATTTTAGATTTCTGATAAAAATCCAGATTGTGACCGAAACGTTGAATAAAACTTTTAAAAAACTGCTGCTATTGGAGAACCTCTCATATAACATATACAAGACATGCAACATGTACATTTTGATAATTGGCGAATGCGCTAGGTTCGTTCAATTTTAACCAGGCAAATAAATTAATTGACCTGTTTTGTTCTTTTCTTTTAATACTTATCCAGTCACACCGTCAATATGACGAGCTGGAAACTATTTTCACATTTTCAAGATGGTCACTAGGGGGCGCAACCTGCCATCTTAAACTCCTTAAACGAATTTTCACCGAAATCCACTTAGTAAGCTTTACTTAAGTAATCTTTGTTTAACACATTTAATGTTTTGTTTGACACATTTTTCGTATCTATTAAAATAAAGTGGTTAGTCATTGGCCAAACCTTACCTGTGATACGTCCAATTCTTAGTAAAGCGCTCTTAATTTCGCACCTTATTATCAGAGGGGTGGGGCAATGCAATTGCGTGTCTCCAATTGACCGTTTGCGCTCCAAATGAAAGCAAATAATGTTAATTTATATGAGTACGTTAATTTGAAACAAACGGTTTTTAACTTGGCCTCTTTAATTGACTATACGGCTGCTTGCTATTATCACAATGTCGGATACTTCTGTTCCGAGTTTGTTCGAATCTGATTGAACTGGATTAAACAGATTTTTATTTGTAAACGATAACTAGCATTTTAATCTACGTATATGATCTATACGGATGCTCAGTCAGATTCGTCAGGTTGCGGAAAGCGAAATTGAGAGTATGTTTTATTAGCGTGAAAAGCCTAAAACTAGGTCAATTTAAATGTCTATATGTATAGATGCTCCTACAACTTTGCCCAATAAGTACGACACTGACGAAAAAAAGTTAAATACAAAAAACATTTGACACTGAGAATGTATTTTATTTGTAGTATTTCTGTTTATATCGAGTGTCCTGTTGTGCCAGGACAGTAATCAACTTTATTTTTAAATGGAATTTTATGAATATTTATAGGAATTCTAATTATTCGCTGGATTAATTTTTTGTCATTAGGAAATTTTGAGTAGTTTTTGATAAAAATAAACTTTTCCACACGTCTTTGGAGGAATGTTTTTTTTACTCTTGAAAACTAAAATTGGAAATTTCTATTATGGATTCATGGAAGTGGTTAATATTTAATGCTTTAATCGTCTACAGTGTGGTCAAAAATGACCGTCAAAAAAAAGTTTTTTATAATTAAAAAACTCAATTTATTTAAATGGAACATTCTATATTTCGAACTTTTATTGAGTTCGGGATTTAATTCTGAATCATATACGAGGTATGTTCAAAAAGTAAAGATACTTTTTGAATTTAATTTTTAACATATGTTTACAGTTTCAGCCAGTTTGTATGTTTACTTTTTGTGGGACGTGTTTTGTATGCTCGGCGATTTTCTGCTGTTACAAAAAATAAAAGACAAAAATTTGAATAACATTTTGGGTAAAAAATGGAATACAGTGCTGCAAAACACTTGAAATGTAGAAACGGCATATGGTGAATCTACTTTGAGCAAAAAAATGTTATTAATAGTGCAAGCTGTTCCCAGATGACCGATGACGAACCTCGCTCTGGACGCCCTAGCAAGTCAATAATAAATTGTCCAATTACTATTGGAGAAGTGCCTTGCAATTTTTTCCGAAGTTTTGGGAATGAAAGATGCTTAATTTTGAGCAAAAGGACCGTCGAAGGAGTATCACTCAAAAGCTGTTGAATAATGATGATCCTGATAGGCTCAAAAAGGTCAAAACTGGTGACGAATATGGTTATGACGTCGAAACCAAAGCTCAGTCGTCCAAGTCCTAAATAGCCAAGACCGAAAAAAGCACGTCAAGTTCGATCAAATATCAAGGTTTTGCTTAGTGTTTTCTCCGAATGTTCTAAGTATCCAATTCTTGGATTTTGCATAACGATAATGCACCTGCTCACTCATCGTCACTCGTGTCTAACTTATTGGACAAAAAGAAAACCACAATCATCATGTCTCAGCCACCGTATTCATCATCGAATTTTTCCCAAAACTGAAGAAACCAATGAAAAAAAGGAGGTTTGGAACAGTTGAGGAGATAAAGCAAAAATCGAAAAAAGAAAATGTTTATTCGCAGAAAATTAATTACAGAAAACATATTTGTAAAAATTATATATAATTATACGTAAAAAGAGACTAGGGGCAATTTAGAAATGGTCAAAGTTCAGCCCCAAAGGTATGTATAATCAAAAAAAAAACACGAGATATCAGCAAAATTACATTGTCTGGGCACACTGATGTATCGTATTTAAAGGTTATAAGAAAACGATCTTTCATAAAGTAAGGTGAGGCGGGATGTTACCCTGAAATCTTAAGTTCAAATTATGAATGTCGGTTCTGTATTTAATCTTATTTAGTAGATAAGGGGGACATTGATTATACATAATACAAAGCCCCAGAATGCAATTTACGTGGAAGTTTTTAACATCCCTCCACAAAGTTGGGCAAATTCTGTTAAACATATGGAAAAAGCAGAACAATCGTATATCCATATTGCAAATAATATAGAACAATAATAATTGGAACAGGCGATGATAGCGATAGTGATACTGATATATCATGTGAATAATTTTAAGTAATTTAAAAATAAATATTGTTTAGTATCATTCCTAACAAAACCCCAAATAATTAAATTCTA